AATTTGGTGGGGTTTGATGCTCCGCCGGGGGGGGGGGGGGGGGGGGGTTCGGGAACCTGGATGGAAGGTGCAGACACTGCTGATCTAATCCTTCTCTGACCTCACTGTTAGTGTCCATGTCAAACAAGAAGGCCATTACCAAAGACAAAGGAATGGCCATTAAAGTGCTGTCTGTATAGAGCTTTCCACACCCCACCAGGAGGGACAGTGGAGGCCTCTGCTCTGTGAAGGGCCACAAAACACTGCAAAAAAGAAATAAATAATAACGACACTGTGTCACGGTGAGGAATACAGGATGTGCACATAGAACGTACAACTTTTATCTGAAGATGGACTTTAGACTACCTGGCATGTCCAAGGGGTCTATGATCGCTCCCGCACTACGCTTCCCAACTCTACTGACAGCACATAGAGCCCCTGACGTCATAAACACAGCAGCAGCTTGTAGATGTATGGTATGCATACACTGACAGATCTCATTGGCCAATCTATAAGAATCGATATTTAGCTTCGAAGGTTATTTTCAATGAATGATCAATTGATCTTAAAGATGAACTGCGAGCTTCTCATAATGTGCATTAGAATCTGCAGCACGTCAGATAGAGTCCTCCTCATTTCCTGGTGGGAGGACACCCATCATTATCTAGCCCTTTTTTCCCCAGACTCTGAACACAGCTCATTTTCAGCCGATGTGTCCACACACATTGTGGTGCTTAGTCCCAATTCACATCATAGCGTAGCGGGAACGTGCAAGCGTTTGTTTCCTGTGTATCCCCATTTTGGGGATACAAAATGCCATCATTAGGGGAGGGCCCATCCACACCAAAATTGAACCAAAAACATTAGCCAATGGAGGTCCGTTGACCTGCAATTTAACCTCCGTTGACTTCCGCTGCTTTCCGTTCCGTTGTGTTTTTTTAATTTGTTTATTTTTTTATTTTTTTGCCAATCTTTATTGTAATGAACATGTCCTGAGAGGACAAACTTCTATGTACTTTTTTTTTTTTTAACCTCCGTTCCTTTGCATTGACATCCGTTTTTGATGCATTGCGTTACGTTGCGCTGTAAAAAGTAGCGCATGCTCTTCTTTTTTTTCATTGCCCTACAATGGAACCCAATGGATCTCAGTGATGTGAACTGCTCCCATTCAGGAGAATGCTACTGCACTCCATACTGGTATGTCCCTTGCGGTGGGTGCCATAGTGACTGCGGATGGCGCTGCTTCAGCTTCAAGTAGTAAAATATATCACCAGCACACTGGGGTCAAATCTTCAGAAAGTGATCATTTTATTGATACACACATCTTGTCAATAGCAATGTTTCGGGGCCACACTGGGTCCCTTACTCAGCCATAACGAGCAAGGGACCCCGAGTGGCCCCGAAACGTTGCTCCTTTTTTGTGTGTGGGTTGCCCCCTTAAAATCCATTACATTTTAGACTGGGGTGCCTCCAGATTTTGCATAGTGACTCAGAAAAGGCTGAGAAATGCTGACTTAGCGTATAGAGGCTCAATGTATTTCTCTTTAGGTCTGTAGGTGACCGCATGGTGCATCTTTGGGTGATCAGAGCATCCATATCAATGTACTGTATTGAGGCTGCACTGTTTCTGATCTGTCTCCCTGAAGAAGCCAGCTGCCGGGCTGTACCTGGCTTCAGTACTTTGGGATTCAAGCTTTGCACTTTGTCTTGCTCTGGGTCTTGTGATTCACAAAGTATTGAAATAATGTCTCAGACATGGCAGCCCGACAATGAGCATTTTCCAATATCAGCTCAGTACAGGCTTAGTCTAATGTCATCACTTGTTACAAAGTATCAGAATATCCTGCGATCAGTATACAAAGTCTGGCACACTCACACTCACACTGCACTCTCTCCTCTTGTCTGCAGGGACGTCCGAGCTGCTGGGGATCCGCGGAGCGCCGCTGTCCGGGGGGCAGCATGAGGGGGAGCCTGCTGCTGCTGCTCACTGCCCTCCTGCCCCTAGTGGGGACCAACTCCTGGTGGTGAGTACTGATGGGGGCACATCATGGTCCCTCTGGATATCTGAATACATTGCATGGGGCAATTCTTATACTAGAATATCTATATACATTGCATGGGACAATTCTTATACTAGAATATCTATATACATTGCATGGGGCCATTCTTATACTAGAATATCTATATACATTGCATGGGGCAATTCCTGTACTAATGGAGAATATCTGAATACATTGCATGCGGCAATTCCTGTGCTAATAGAGGATATCTGAATATAATGCATGGGGCAATTCCTGTACTAATAGGGAATATCTGAATATATTGCATGGGGCAATTCTTATACTAAAATATCTATATACATTGCATTGGTCAATTCCTGTACTAATAGGGAATATCTGAATATATTGGATGGGGCAATTCCTGTACTAATAGAGAATATCTGAATAAATTGCATGGAGCAATTCCTGTTCTAATAGAAAATATCTGAATATATTGCATGGGGCATTTCCTGTACTAATAGAAAATATGTGAATACATTGCATGGGGCAATTCCTGTACTAATAGAGGATATCTGATTATATTGCATGGAGTAATGCCTGTGCTAAAGGAGAATATATAGATAGTGCATGGGGCAATTCCTGTACTAAAGGAGAATACCTTAATACTGTATGGGGTAACTCTTGCACTAAACAAGAATATCTGGATAGTGCATGGGGCAATTCCTGTATTAAGGAGAATATCTGGATAGTGCATGGGGTAATTCCTGTATTAAGGCGAATATCTGGATAGTGCATGGAGCAATTCCTGTACTAACAGAGGACCGTGTTTTTCGGTGCAGTTTCTGTACCAACAGTATCAGAATATTATGGGGCAATTGCTGTACTAATAGTACTTGAATATTCCATGGGGCAATTCATGTACTAACAGAATGTGAACATTGCATGGGGCAGTTACTGTACTGTGTAATATGGTGTAAGGTACACAAGTAGCATGTGAAAGCTGTCATTGCAATTAAAGTTCATGTCTATCCAGAATGTATTCTTTTAGTTTTGCATTGAGCAGGGGGAAGGATTAGAATCTCTGTCACATTTTATTGCTATCTGTGTCCCTGTTGGAGAAATTCACCACCTCTCTATGTCCTGGTCACCATTATCATCAGGACTGAAAGGGGGACTCCTGATTCAGGGAACATTGGCTAAGAGGGGATTTTCTAACTTTGGAGAGCATGGGACACAGACTGCAAAAAAATAACTAGGTTTTATCCCTACCGGGCTCTATCCAATTCTATACCAATGAGTGTTGGCTATATCAGTGGACTGCAACCTTTTCCACACTAAGGGGCATATACAGGTGAAACTCGAATTATTAGAATATTGTGCAAAGTTCATTTATTTCACTAATGCAACTTAAAAGGTGAAACTAATATATGAGAGAGACTCATTACATGCAAAGCAAGATAATTCAAGCCGTGATTTGTCATAATTGTGATGATTATGGCTTACAGCTCATGAAAACCCCAAGAACCCCAAATCCACAACCTCAAAAATGTAGATTATTACATGCAATCAATAAAACAAGGATTGTACATAGAACAATATCGGACCTCTGAAAAGTACAAGCATGCATATGTACTCAGTACTTGGTTTGGGCCCCTTTTGCAGCACTTACTGCAATTACTTTTGCACGATATTCTAATTATTCGAGTTTCACCTGTATAGAAAGCAATGGATGCAACTTTTACCAAACATTGGTAGCGAATCAATCACTGACATTTAAACACATGCATCTAGAAGATTCACCTGCAGAGAATGTGATTTGGTGAATGTCAGATTTGCAATAGACAACTGACGTGCCAATGAACTATAGCATGCCGTAGTTGTTGTATAGTTTATTCTCACTTCCCATATTTTGCAGTTTAGTTGTGCTATGTCTGCTCTGTGGGGTGTGAATTTCAGCTGAACTCACATTTCTAAATTATCTGATGTAAGTCGCCTTCCAAATTGACTTAACGGTGTCTTCCAGTGTAAAAAAATCTGTTCACACTTATATGTGGATGCAAACGTATGAGATTAATGCCTCATGCACACAGCGCGTGAGGCCAATGAACGTAAACTGCGGATATAACTGGGATAACCAGCTGTGACGTACAGCCGCCCATAGTGAATGGGTGTAGGAGGGTGTATGTGGGTTGATGCCGCTACTTGCACAAACTTGGGAATGCGTAAAGCTTTGCTGCGTCCAGGGTTGTATACCCGTACACATGCGTGGGTTTTTACGTAAGTAGCAGTGTAAACCCCATGCACAGCTGCCTATACCTATTCACTACTATAGGTGGCTGTATGGAGCAGCTGCTTATCCCAGGTGCAGAAATACGCCTGCAATTTACCTTCAGTGGCCGCATGGGACATAATGCAAAGTCCACTTTTTTCAAACATAAGAATTGCCAAAACTCACTACACTGCAAAATAGATACGATTTAACTTTACTATTATTATGTTCTAATGGGAAATGGCAATAAATGATGTAACATGTGACAATGGAGCCTTCAGGTGCCAGTGAACATGGCTTTTCCTGCCCACCCTGGCACCCATGTCTTGGGTTTTGGCACCGTGTCTTGGGTTGCTGACCCTTGGACTACATATACACTTTATTGGGATGCAGTATCAAGCCCTCAATTGTGAACGTGTCGTAGTAGGCTTGCATGAGGGCTGCTCTCTACTACCTTGACATCCCTGCAATAATGATAAAATGTTACACATGATAAGAACATAATAGTATCTGGAGGTAAACAGATCAGTTGTTGAAATGCAGCCCAGAAGGTGACCCAGACAGACCCTGTTAAAGTTTGGTGCCTACAGCACTGTTATAAGAAACTTTGATAATACGTAACTAATTACAACAAGATAATCCCTATCTAATTAACGGAATTTTCTGCTTTACCATAGATGTGCAGTTCTGTGCTCCGCCCCTAATTATAAGATAAAGGTGCCACGTCCTGCAGGATATAGCCTTTCCGTGGTATCCTTCTCTGTAAAGCTGGTCATACACGGCTCCATTTTCTCTCATTCAGCTTGCAGGAGAGAAAAAAATCAATTTTATCCCCCACCAATGAGGAGGATGGAAGAATTTCCACTGTAGGCCATTGTGTCCAGCAGCCGCAGCATCCAAGGCTGCCTGAATACAGTGGTGCTGCCTCTAAACTCTCAGGATCAAAGCCTAAAGAGATGCTGTTCGGGTACCTACACACCAACAGGAAAAGTAGTAAACATTTGGCTGGCCATAGACGGCTCAAATTTTGGTGGAATCCTGCTAAATCGGCCAAAGCACCACCAAATTTAAATACATTTTTGTTGATGCGGGTGGTGCTTGGACGCCCCCCACGGCTTGAATTATGGCCGATTCAGCAAGAATCAACCAAAATGTCAACCGTCTATAGCCAGTCCAGTGTTTAATATTTTTCCTGCAGGTTGGTGGGCAGGCATCTCTTTTGGCTCTGACCTTGAGAGTTTAGAGGCTGAGACACCCCAATGATCGTGATATTATCTCTCACACACATCTGATAAATCAATATACTTTTGTAGAATCCTAGCATCTCTTGTTCAGGAAGGAAGAGTAGGATTTCAAGGCTGCAGATAACAAAATACATAGATATAATTGATATAGGTCATTGTGTAGTGTAAAAAATGACAATTATCCTAAAAACATATGTAGTACAAAGTGGGGGGTGTTGGCACTTTTGCATTATTTGAACGTAGTAATATAATTGCTGTAGGTAGTGGTATAAGGAATTCATAGGCCTGGGGTCCAGTCTTTGTGCTTATTCGCCAAACGTTCACCCTCTTTTCCTCGTCTAGGTCGCTGGCCTTGAATCCAGTACAGAGGCCTGAATTGTACATCATCGGCGCACAGCCGCTGTGCAGTCAGCTGACCGGCCTGTCTCCTGGGCAGAGGAAGTTGTGCCAGCTTTATCAGGACCACATGGTGTACATCGGGGAAGGGGCCAAGACAGGCATCAAGGAATGCCAGTACCAGTTCAAGCAACGGCGCTGGAACTGCAGCACAGTGGACAATACGTCAGTGTTCGGCCGGGTCATGCAAATAGGTAAGAGAGTGTGAATGCTGATGAAACACTGCGAGTGGTAACTCTGTTGCCATGTTTAAAGTGTATGTAAATCCAGGATCAAAAATGCAATATAGATGTGGTGGCTACTTAGTTTAATTTTTTTTTTCTTTTATTGTCACCTGGTGATTCTGAAAGTAACAAGGTGACAACGCTCACTGTACCTATGGAGGAGCAGAATTGACACCCTAGGACTGCACTACAGAACACCTCCCTTTCCTAGTGCAAACACAAAAAAATTCCCAGCACACATACCAGCCAGCCTGCAAAAGAAACCAAATGACACTGCCTAACTATTAGCGTTAAAAACAGAGATTTTGATTGCACAACTTTTGCTAAATACAGTATGTGGAAGCCACATTGCCTCGTCAAGGCCCCTCACTAGAACCTATGAGAGCCTATGACAGTTTCAGCCTCTTAAATAAAAAAAATTTATGTGCAAATCTGTTTAGTCGCTCCTTTTAACATGTGCACCTGTTTTGACCAGAGCTTGCACTATTTTCCCCATTGCACGTGTTTTGCGCGTGTTTTGCAAAAGTTCGCAACTGTTTACATCTGCACTTGTCCTGCGGCCGTCTGAAACTGGAGTATCACCTAACAAAACAATTGCTACTTAAATCCCCGCGACCACTTCTTCAAGAAGCGGCAGTTACAGGATCATTAAACCCTTGCATGTCTTTGCTAGCAAGCAGTAGATATATGCGAAAACATAAACAAAAAAAAGAACCAAATAGGTTTAAACTTACCTGTGTATCCACCGAGTGCTCCTGTCCGAAGATCTGAAGACTCTCGGGCGGCCGCAAAGAATCATGGGGCGGGCGCATGTGCAGTTCAGATCTTCGGCCGGGAGAAGATGAGAGGCACAGGGTAAGTCAATGCAAGCAACGTGCACCCGCACAGACTCCGTGGGACAGGAAGATACAGGAGTAAGCGCTGGGGGGGGGGGGGGTTAACTTTAATGTCACTTTAAGCTTTTTGCCTGGAGTTGTGAATCTTCTTTCCTGGAGTCCATTTAATCTCAACTTTACACTAGCAGCATAAATCTGGTGCAAATCTATCCCATGCGACTATATGCGAGTTCAAACACTCACAATTGGTATGATAAATCCCCCCCAGTGTACTTAAAAACAGCACAGGACAGGCAGAGAGCACAGGAAGTTAGTAGCTCACACGATTCCTGGCAGGATCAACAGATTATTTGTTTTGCTTGTGATCGAACAAATATGTCAAAACACTTTCAATGTTGTATTTAACAGACCAAAAGGGAGCAACACCGAGAAGTTCATGGTTAAGGGTTTACATACCCTTTAGGTAATCTTCGTATGGAGATTTCTCATGAAGCCACTCAGCGGATAATGATGGCAGTATGGTCCTGATGATTTAGGTTGTGGCAGTGATAGGATCTGCACTCTCATTGCACCCTTTAGATGTGTGAGGAGAAGTATTTGTACAGGAGATGGCGGCTCTTCCATTCCTGACTCCCCCAGGCCACACACTCAGTCCTCCCAAGAGACGTTGTGCACTATGACTAGGTTGGGACATATGATGGCCTGCCAGGTGGAGGTGGTATCATAATAATAAACATTTGATCCAAGTAATTCTCTGGTTTATTACATTGAAGCAATTTTTCACTTTATTTTGGGTAAAGGTGAAAAAAGTCTCATTGTATTTGTTGTTTTTTTTGGTGTGTGCTTTTTTAATGAAACCTTTTCTGCTTCTTGACTTGTTAAACAAAAGCCCCAGAGAGAAATACAGAGACTTTGATCCCCTCTGAGCCTCTTATACAAAATGAGATTTAAAAATTAGAAAGTCAAAGTGAATTCCAAATACTTATTTAAGGGGATAACGCTCAATCACTGCACTGTAACTATGGAGGAGCAGCGTTTGTCACCCTAGGCTGCTCTCCTGATTTGGACTACAAATGCCTTCCCCTCTCCTCATCTTTACATAGAAGGGGAGTGTTTTGTATCTCACAGAAGCTAGATGTGAAGGAGGAACTGTTGGAGATATTAGTTCAGTGCACAGGAAGTTGCAAGGACCAGTGGCGTCACAGATGGGGTGCAGCCCACACCGGGTGACACCATCAGAGGGTCATTCTGGTGTCACCCCCTCTGAAAAGTGGGGCACTGTGTCACGGACCGAGAGCCCAACAGTTGCACCACAAAGAAGGGGCCCTGGTGGCATACCTTATCCCGCCTGGTGAACCTCCCCTCCTCCCTCTGCCGTCATCCATCACTAAAATGGCCGCCGACAATGTGATGTCGTCACATGTGTGTGCGTGATGACATCCCCGTGGGGTTTCACTCAGCGGCCACTCCAGGTGACACCAAGCCTGGGGACTCCCCTGGCTAGGACACTGGATTTCTATCAAGATCAACAGGTATTTGACTTGTACTTGCAGGAAATGTATGTAGCATGAAAAAATGTAAATGATACATACATATTTGTCCTCTTTTTCTTGTTTATTCAAACTCTCAACAAGGAAAAACAATCCATTAGATTTCCTTTAGGCTCAATTAGAATCGATGTGTAGAGATTTGCCATTAAAGCTTATCTAAACCTTAGAACAAAAATGTCATATACTGCAGCTTCCCAGTACAGTCCTCAGATGTGGTGGCTGCATACTTGTTGATCCTGCCAGAAACCCAGTGTCCTTGTAACTTCCTGTGTGCTAAACTGAAATTTCAAACAACGTTTTCAGCTTTCCCTTCTATCTTCTGTGGACTATAAAATGTATGTAATGGAGATAAGGAGAGAGGGAGGTGTGTGTAGTCCGTAGGAGAGCAGCCTAGGGTGACAACACTGCTCTTCAGTAGATGCAGTATGGTGAGTGAGTGAGCGTTGTCATCCTAGAACAGGAAGTGTGGCTGGCACTTACTGGCAGGATCATCAGGTGAAAATAAAGGAAAAGAAGCCTGAAAAAAGCTAAACACAAATGCAGCCATCACATATTATAACGGGTAAGCTGGCCATACACGTGGAAATTTGTAGTCAGTTTCAACCACTTTTGAACCACTGATAATTGCAAACAAGCTCAGCCACAGGTTTGATTCATCGCCACAGTTTGGTTGCATTTGAAATTGAATCTGGGCTATACAATGACAACTTCCATGCGATTTAATGATGAAATAGAATTAAAATTGAAATGGGAAAAGTTGTGACAAATTCATCAAAAGCGATCACATTTTTCCTTCTGCTTTCAATCAAGACAATCTGATCCCATCTCCTTGTGGCCCATAGGAACCACCATTTTATGTGTTTGATTGTTTTGTGATTTCAACAATAAATGGAAATGAAAGTTTAGCCACTCTATTAAATTGCCACGTCTATGGTCAGCTTATGGCCTTCTTGGGTCCGGCAGCTGTCTC